CGACGCGACTCACTTGACTTTAATTAAGACGCCGAGAGAGAGAGAGAGAGAAAGAGATAACGAGGTTGCTTTCTGCAACAAAAAAAGGAGCTTCGCGATCGGCCATTATGAAAATTCAAGTCGGCGTAAACATATCGAGTGGCAATTAATTTTTCATCGCTAATTCCAGAGAACGACAGTGTAAAAGCTTTTTGCGAAAGAAAAAAAAATGAAACAAACAGATCCTTTTATAGATCAATGCACGTTGCGCACGTGCGAAAGTAAGCGTGATTAGAAAGCCACGTATATAGAAATGCTATTATCGCCTTAATAGGCCGCATATAGCTGTCGAGTCGATAAAACTCGGCTGTCCAACGTTGAAAAAAAAATACTTTGTCAAACGTCAAAGTAAGCGCTTGCAAAGGAAACGACAGCCTTGAAGGTTGGAAAAAATTAAGGTCAATAATTTTCAGGCTGACGTAATGACATGAGGAATGCGCACGGATCTCATACGAATGATAATGACCATTGGTAATTGTTTCCTCGTGGAAACAACAGAAATTAATATTAACGCGCAGCGATGTCTGGTGATAAAATTTGTAAGGAAGAGCTAGCTAGACGAACGACGCGGCTGTAGCAGCAGTGCTTTGTTCGCAACGTGGAAATTCATTTTCAAGCGCTGGTATTGTTTTTATTTCCTTTCGCGTTTTTTGCCTGGCAGTTGGTGCTGATCGCCGTTCATCGGACGATCATTTAGTCATGTAAAGCTTCAACCATTTATTATCTTACTGTGTTTGCTAAATTCTTTTACCGAGTCCACCAAGCTGCCCTAGTGCAAATATTGGAACTTTGAAAGATGAAGCAAACAAACTCAAAGTCAATGGCAATAACATCGAATTTCCGTAAATAAAAAATATTTTACTTTTTACAGGTGTGCGTTTTCGTTTGTGGAAGCAAGTTGTCTATCTTATAAGTAGCATCTTTAACTGTGGAAAATCTCACGCCATCTGTGAAGATATATTTTAGAAAAATGAGAAATCTATTCTCACGAGTTCGCTGAACAAAACGTAGCCTAGCCATCGGTCGGTAAGTAAAGCACGTTGATGGAAAGTCCTATCATTCTCCAACGAAAGAAAAACGTGGAAACGACGTAATAAGGCCAAATGATTCGAACATAACAGTACCACTGTTCAATCGGGGTCTTTTTCTCTCGTTCCCAAGTCAAACTTTGCCGCTCGTATCCGGTGTGCTCGTCATCATCGGCAATTGGCATTTGCATAAGAAAGCGAGAAACGCTTATTCTTTCTTTCCATTCATAATTCTCCCATCGTCTCTTTCTCGCTCGCGTGTGAAATTATATTCTTTTATTTCGCGTTGGCAAAACTTTCTCTCTCTTTTCTCTGCTTGTAATTGTCTGCATATGTCACTGGGGCATTGTGTGTTTGTACACGAAATTGCAGCTCATGAAATTACACGGCAGCGAGATTATTACGTGGATATCTTTTGGAAAACAGAATGGCCGAGGGCTTTTCAATCAGCCTCGTCGCCGCCGCCGCCGCCACCGCCGCCGAGGCAGCATCCCTCGCGCGAGCGACGTCGACGTTGGTAAACTGGTCAAGCCGAGTCAGTCGCAATTTCGCCGCAGATGCGTCGCGTCGCGTCGGAGAGCGCCGAGGGACACTGCGAAAATGTGTCTCCCCCCAAGGGTGATGATGTCGAGGTCTTTTGTGCGACGATCTCTCTTGCTCCCCGTCCCGGCTTAATTGTTTCCTCGACCGCTCGCGCGGGGAGCTTCCGACGCGAGTCCGCATTTTTATCTTGGACGATTTGCGGTTTCTCGCGGTTTGCAGAAATAGTCGGCACGAGCGTCGCGCGCGGCCCGTTAGAAGCAATTTCCATTCGGCGCCGTGGCCAGACCGAACGTTTCCAAGCATTTCCGATCGGGTCGACTCTCATCGGCGATTCGTCACGTACGGGAGACGCGCGTTTTCCACGGCCGCTCTCCGAACTGCGCGATTGCGTTTTTCGCCGCCTCGTTCGAAAATCGATCTCCGTGGCCCTCACTTTGCAGGCGCAATCTTGGCCATTGTTCGGCTCCAACCGAACGCGTCTCGCTCTCTCGAGCAACTGCCGTTCATTGGTAGCATCCTCGCCCCCGACGCGCGCTCGTAGTCGCGGGCGAAGCGAGAGCCGAGAGAAAATCACCGAGCAAAAATAACAGCCGCGATCCCAGAAGGCGGCAGTGATACATGCGGCGAAAACAAAAGCACAACACGATGAACTCGCTCGTTCCCCTCGCGGACTATAATCGCGATAAATCAATCGAAAAAAATAATAAAACAGAGGAAGCATCCGCGCGGCTGAAAAGGAGAGCGACGGAAAAAAAGAGCATGTAAATCGTTTCTCCGTCGCGACGAGCGTTCGCGCGCAATTAACGACGAGGCATCGTAATTCTCATGCAAATACCCCCGCATCCGCGGCGCAGCGGGAAAGCCGAAATTTCCAAGGGAGAAGATTAATGACTTTGAAAAGCGCGGCGTTTCGGCGGGCGCGGAGCGGCGAATGCTCGAGCTGCCGACGTGTGTCGCGCGATAACATCTATAACCAAGAAGCGATGCTGCGGCGAACGAACGCGAGAAATAAACAAATAGCACCAGAAGCCGCGAGGCCGGAAGTCGCGCACCCCACGCGAGAGGGCGTGGCGCACGCTCCCTTCTTCCGCCTCCTCTGCGCTCTTGTTTTCCTTTCGCTGAGGCCGACGCGCGCAATCTTTCACGAGCTCTCTCTCTCTCTCTCTCCGCGGGCGCGACGCGCGCAATTTTTCTTTTTTTTTCCCTCCTCCTCCTGCGCCGTCCGAGACTTTGGAAAGTCGATTGCTGTGTGCTGTTGCTTTACGGCAGATTATCGTCTCTCTCTCTCTCTCTCTCTCTCTCTCTCTCTCTCTCTCTCTCTCTCTCTCTCTCTTCGTTTTTGCGGCACAGACTACGGGGAATCGAAGATCGAGATTGACTTACGTGAGAATTTTATGGATTGAAAAGTATCGAGAGTCGATTTTTCAAATGACGAGCTATTGGATAATATTGCTTTCAGTTGCAACTGATCAGTTCGTGCGCGCAGCGTCGAGCGTCGACTAATAATTTCCAATGCGCTCCAGCGCGCGGCGATAATTTCATATCGAGTGCACGTAGTCTACGCAATTGACTCGAAACTATTTCAATCCAGCCTTTTTCGATGCGAACAACTTGGGCGCGCAGCACTCACTCGGTAATCCGCCCACTGAAATATTAACATCCCTCCGAGCAATGCTTGACCACCGCGTTCTCGCAACAATGCACGCGTCGCGCACTTGATCCTCTTTGCGATATGGCTGTACGTGTCTCTGTAAGCACACGGCGTCGGCTCTGAATATGAGATCCAGTCGATCGAAGCTTCGACGCGTTGAGCCGGATGCCGGGCATTCGCCTCTTCCTTTACGCCAAGCTGGATATGACAAATTCAAAATGACGTCACAACATTGCAGCTTCTTTACGGCTCGTTAATTCCAGGTTCGATCTGGATTCCGATTTCTCGAGGAGAACGAGCGCCCGTACGGTAAATCGATATTCGACGCCTCTCTCTCTCGCTTTACGACCGAGCTTTCCGGGAAATCGTTGGAAATCTCGTTTTTGATTTGAACTCGGATAGACGGTCGGACGTAAAATAAATAGGAGCACTCGACGAAGGGCCCACGTCCGCGAGCGCGAAGACCGATTGATTGGCAATTGGATCCAGCCGATACAGGGCGCATGGAAAATCAGCCGGTGTCGTGGCTTGGCGCGCACGCGACGCAATAACAGCCTTCGCTCGCAGGCGGCACACGTCGACAGCGCTACGTGCGAGACCGAGGGTGGTTGGCGCGCGACTTGTGTAATCGGATAACTTGTTGCTCGTTACACGGCGTCTTGTCATTAAGCTCGTGTCTTTACGAAATCGATAGCGCGCGCATAGTGCAGCGCCAGCGCCAGCTGACAGAACAATGCTTGGCTGTGCCGCCGCCGTTCGGAAAGAGATAGACCGTTTCGGATAAATCAGGCACGAGAGAAATGCGCCAGAAGTTCACCAAGTGCTTCGAGCATTGAAAACTCGACGAGATTGTTTGGCAATTATTCGCTAGGCTGCTGTTTCTCGTTGTCGATGCCGCCGGCTCTCCATCCTGATCATCCGAAAATGGGAAGACGACCCAACCCAAAAGATACTTAATGGATTTCAGTCAGTGAGCGCGAGTGAATCATTGTAGATTGTCGTTTCCAAATTAACATGATAATGTATTTATAGCGTACTTTCACTTGGCAGAAAAGAAACAACGATTGTCAATTTCAAATTTGGGCGGGAGGGTTAGTAATGGCGATGATGTCCAAGCAGACCGCTTTGTGTCTCGGGACGAGTCCCCCGTCCCCCACGGACTCGGAGAGAAAAGGAAAACTTGGGCCAGAGAAGAAGAACAGAAGAGACAAGAAAACAAATTAGCTAAGAAAAGGCCTTGGCCCACCGATGCGACATTAAGCAAGTTATTTCTTACCGCATCTCGTGCTGCTGCTTCGACAGAGTTTCCAGTCGTAATTTATTTTATTGCTCCACGAGCCTAAAACGAAATTTCTCTCTAAAGCAGCTCTGCCGAGCCCCGAGAGAACATTAACGCCACATAATCAAATCAATCAAGATCGAATACGTTCGCCTCAAACCAATGCTCGAACGTCTTACTCGATCGAGATGAACCGTCCCTTGAAAATACTATTTGTCTCGTTGACTGCGGCTTACAGAGCGAAAACTAATTTGTTCTCTTTTCTTGAAAATACCAACAAACGTAAGGGACCGACGTTCGGGTTTGCGGAGGAAAAAGAGCAAATTTGGGCATATGTAGTTCATTGTGACGCTTGCCTTGATGCTACTGACGCGCACGGACTCGTTGCCAGAGGGCGCGGCCAACGCAGAGGTGAAGCTATAAGGCATGACGCGACGAAGCCCGGCTGTTTAGCAGCAATCAGCGTGCAGAGCTGAGTTGAAATGACCGCTAGAGCTAGTAAGTAAGACCGCTTTCGTTTGGAAATTAATATCGCGAATCTGATATTTTTGAAAAAGAAATTTGCTGTGCGAGTTCGTTAGCAAATATATAAATGGTTTAATAAAAAGTAACTGCCATTCAACGAATGAATTGGTGAAGAAATAATTTAAACATTAGGACTTGGTAACGGTCTCATCACATGTTGTTCTGCGACTTTGTTACTGTTCTCGGCTCAGTTTTGACTAAAAAAGTGCTTATATTGTAATAAACTGTAAGAAAAATATGAAGTGATATATAGAGTGAGAAATCTGAAAGTACTTGACGTGTATACTGCAATAAACTACGGTTGTTCTTTGACTTGTTGCAGAGGAAGCATAACGAGAGAAAACATGTACAGTAAAAGAGAACTAACGATGCTTCATGTGGCGGCCCAGCATGGGAATGTGCCGATGGCGATATACGCAATAGACAGAGCAAAGATTCCGATAGAGGCCAGAAACGAAGCCAGCGCTACGCCTCTTATGGTTGCGATAGACGAGAGGCGTTGGGAATTCGTGAAATTCCTGATACAACGCGGTGCCGATATGTATTTAAGGGATGACTATGGTTACAGCGGGCTGTCGAGGGCATTGGAATGCGACGACCCGAATATCGTCAACGCGTTCATCGAGAAAGTCAGATATGAACATCCGGACAAGGAGGATTTCGTGAGGACGCTGGGCGAACATGGTTGCACGATAGAGAAGATCGTGAAGATGCGCGACCCGGAGAAGACCCAAATATTTTTGAATCTGTTTAACAGACAAAGAATCATCGACCGTATCGCCAGCCGCGAAAGCGTCAAAATAGCTATGAAAGCGATGGATGAAGAAAATTTAAAGGTACTGCTTAACAGTGAAAATGGGGACAGGAGAATAACTTTTCTGTACGCCATTCACGAACTATTGGTATGCAGTTACAATAATGCGTCTTTGACGAGGGTTGTGCAAAAAAGCATTGATCAGATGCTTGATTGGAAAGTGCTGACCTTGGACAACTTTTTCACTACGGAATCGTTGGTTCAGCAAGAACCGGAAAAGGGTATACGCGTAGTATTGACCGATAGACTTATATCATACGTCAAAGAGGAGCTCAATTTTGATGTACAAGTATACTTGTTCGGCAATAAGTTATGTAACATCAGCGAATTCGTGAAGAGTGGCGTGATCGACTTTAATATGCGTGGCAATGGAGGCCTCTCGGCTCTGCACATAGCTGTTGATAACCGAGCGATTGATACGATGAAATACCTACTAGATAACGGATTCGACCCGAACGTAAGAGACGACGAGGGAAGAACGCCCATTTTTAAAGGCCTAGGATATGACGTGATTTTCGAGATCCTACTTATATATGGAGCTGACATTCAAGCACACGACAATGATGGTAAGACACTACTCGATACCGGCAATACGACAGAGGTTAATTCGCGTATGTTCCAAGTCCTTATTTGTCAGTTAGCTATCCTAAAAGCCACCGGCGTACCGCTAACGGAGCGCTTTTATAATCATACGACCAGCGAAGAAGTGTGCCAAAAATTTAAGGAATGTTGCCAACAACTCGATGATATGCAGAGACATAAAATCCACAGTACCCTCACATTATTTGAAGCTCTCACGCTGAGCGTCGAAACGCTTATTGAACGCGTCAGGTCAATTAATCGCGAAGACGTCGAAGTATTTTTCACTAGTTATACATTAAATATATATGATTGGTATTACATGTCGATAATAAAGGAACGCCTTAAAAAGGCTATCAAATTAAGGGAATTAAGAAGTAAGGTAATGGATGTTTTAGGCGATAATATTCCAATTTTAAAGTCCTGCGATTTAGTTTTGCGCAAAATATGTAGTCATTTAACATTCTACAATTTGTCTCTTTTTGATCCTGAGGTAAAAAAAAAGGTAATCCCGCATTGGTAAAGGTTTTATACATAATTCTAACTGTTAAAACTAAATATACCGTAGTTATAAATATTTAACTACAAAATTATAAAAATATATACGTATGTGTAGACTCATACACATTTATATTGTAGATTTAAACTAATACAATAGTAGTTTACCTTTTAATCTGATCTGACATTCTTTCAAAAAGACGAGAATTAGTTTTATTACTGTCAAATCAGGCGAATATAAATAATAACAAATTTTTAATAACGTTCTAAGTAAGTTATATTTTTCACATCTTCAAAAAACGTCATCGAGGTGATACTTCGATAACTCGATCTCGATACTTCGCATCCACATTTGCGTTTCGATTCTGACACAACTTTAATTAACGTTAACGTGGTCACTGCGACCTTGTCATATTTGATTGTAAAAAACTTTTGTCAAGCGTGTATTACTTTTTTTCCATAAATTTTTTATGTTAACAAGAGGTTTGTTATAATTTGCAATTTTTTAATATATATGTACATACACATAATTTATTAATATGTATATACATACACACAATTTATCTAGTACTGGTGGGTAGAAAAAATCCAAACTTTTCGTCGTAACTGTGTAGTTACAGTTAGACATATTTCTGATAATAATTAAGCCTCCTATAGTTTTCATCGAGGAAAGCGCTACCGAAACGTTGATTCTCTCCTGTTTTAAAATTTTGATTCTAAAATTTGATAAAATCAAGCCTGAATGATACTTGACAGTTTTTGTGACGTCCGCATCGTATCGGGCGTCCGATCGAAACAGTTCTCCTTCCATCCGCGCAGTGGCTGGCTGGAAGTGGGGACAAGCCTTAAGACAGAAAAAGAGGAGGAGAGCCGGTGAGCGCAGCGTGCCTGCGCCAGTGAAAGTCGAGTAACAGCGTGTACGCGAGTGTGCGTGCTGAGTGGAGTCGGCGTTGCGCTTGCGTAGTCCGCATACAATGGAATACTGCAGCAAATTCTTTCGAAATTCACAGCATCATCGGAGCATCGCCAGGATACGACTGGATTAGCTAAATTTTTTTATTAATATCGGAATAAAATACTCGGCATCTCGCAGAAGTTATGCGCCAACCTGTGAGCGCTTTATCTTCAGTCGGCCGTATTAGCTTCGTACGCTCAAGTATACAGTAAGCTTTAGACCGAATATGCCGCATTTCTGTAACGATGCATGACCCGTACTATCGTTCAATTGAGGAAATATGTCTAACGAATCGACATTTTACAAAAATAATTAACATAACGAAAAAATTAAGTTTTTCATTTGCCCTTATGAACATGTGGACGAGAGCTCTCAGTTATTACTATAATGTATTTGCGTGTTAAGGCATGTTACAAAAAACAACTACACCAGTCAATTGATCAAACACTACACTCGGCTCAAAAATTGGCATTTTACTCACTTGTTACATGCTCAACAGCGCATATTTCACACGGATTGTTTATAATTTAATTTATGATTTAAAAAATCGAGTAATATTTGAGAAAAGACAAAGTCATTTTTTATTTAAAATATGGACCAGTGAGGAACTTTTTATCAAAATAATCATAAATCAGAATAACAACATCGTTAACACTTCAAATCGTTTTGAATTTTGAACTGAATGTCATTAATTGCAATAGTGTCATCACTATAATTAAAAAATGTTCATTCCGAATCTACATAGATATTTAGACCAAAATAAAGATAACGATAATCAATTCACTGCTGGTGACTTTAACGTTAACTTACTAACATAAGACAATGATACACAGGATTTACTATTAAACCTATTAGAATACAAGTATATACCTCTCTATTACAAAACTACTAAGCCTAATCCAAATAATGCTCATAAAGGTACTTGCGTTGACAATGTATTCCTTACAATTGATACATACGGATAACCATTAAAAGTTACAAAATCTTCCACAGATCCCTAGCCACTTGTTATATTATTAGATATGAAGTATGAGAAAAAAACAAAAGATATCGTTTACAAACATATCGATTACAAAATGTTCAAAATCCTTGCTGATAGAATAAATTAGAATTATATTGTCACTTTTGATGATTCGGAAACTGCATATAATCTATTGATCGACAATATCAAAAATATCGTAGCACAATTAATCACTTAAAATGTTAAATAACTGAAATCTCGTGTAACACCAAGGATAAATTATACGAGATCTATCATTGAGCACTGATGAATTCAATGAATGAATTAAACATGAATATATAAAGATAAGCCCTTAAGAATTAAGCTAGCGATAATGGTGGAATCAGTGTTCGAATTCTTAAAGCCTTGAATGCATATATAAGTTTCCCATTGGAATACATCTTTAACTTGAGCATATATAAAGCTACATGGCCTACGGCTCTTAAAGCGACTCTAATTGTACCTATACACCAATCAGATCATCACTACTTACAAACTATAGACCTGTATCATTAATTTCCAATATTGTAAAATTTTTCGAGAAATTGATTCACTGTATTTATAAAAAAATTTCCTGATGGGGCATGATGTATTATCAAATAAACAGTTTTCGTTTTAGAACAAAAAAAAAGAACAAACAATGCACTGTCTTACGTTATGAATCCAATTTTTAAAGAAATTAATGAAAATATAACAGTTAGTATTATTCCTTGATCTTGTTAAAGTATTCAATACTGATGATTGTATAATTTTACTAAAAACACATGAAAGATAGAGTTCGAGGACTAACGAACTATTCAAAAGCTATATAACGGATAGAAGTCCATTTGTAAAATATCAGATTTATGTAAGTGCTGCACCAAAAGTTATACTATGCACTTCAAGAAATCATACTAGGACCTATTATTCATTATTATATTAATCTATTATTCATTATTTATATTAATAATCTTCTTAAGCTATTACCGGATAATACCATATCGTTATATGTCGATGACACTATAATTATTAGTTTCGAGGCGAATTGGTCAAGGTCTGACACCAAAATAAACGAAAACTTAAATGAGGGCAGCATATGGATGGAACATAATCGATTGTCGGTAAATTTTCTCAAGATAGTATATATATTTTGGGTTCTATCATGATAGTGTTCCTGATATATTAAATATTTACATAAAACTGAAACCATTTGCAAAAATACTTATAATTTTTTTGGGATAGTGATGGATTCAAGACTCAAATGGAAATTTTATATATGTAGATTACAATAATAAGGAAAAAACAAGGTACGTCATATTTGTACTACAGAAACTTGCTAAATTTATGGATATAAAAATATTAATTAATTATTATATATTATGCGTTGTTCCAAAGTGTTGCAACCTATGGAATTATTGTGTGGGGAGGAGCCTATCGCAATGTGCTAAGTGGTATACAAAAAATACAAAATAAATAAATTAAAATCATACTTTAAAAATCGAAGAACTTTCCATCGTCATTATCTATTATGGAACTATAGCTGTTTATCTACTGAATTTTATACTTAAAATAAGACAACTAGACATGCGACAATTATGGAGGATGAACGTAAAACAATTACATTAAGGAGTCATTGGTATGCTGTAACTAAAATATTCCGAAAATTCAACAAGGAAATATCTTGTAAAAAAATAGACTAGGAACAAAATTTCAAAAATACTATTAACAAACGAATGCAAACAAAATAATAATATCCTTTTTAAGAATGATATTCTTAAAAAGGAAGAGTTAGTACAAGATTGATGTTAATAGTAGCTATAAGTTTTGGTTTATAATTTTACTTGTTATGAGAGCTTGCCTACAGGTACAAGTGCGTATAACTCTGCACGTAATTGTAAGCATTTAAGACCGGTAACTTATTAATGGCAAATAAACAAGAAACAATATGTGTTTCTCCTCTTATTATTTCAAAATTACAAAGAAAGACGAAGCCAACATGTATCCACGCTCCAGGAACCAGGAAATGTAGAAAACCGCTCTACGCACAGAGCTGCGCAATTAAAAAGAAAAACAAAAACAAAAAAAGTCTCAGTCAGAGCCTGTTTTGACTCAAGCCGTAGTTATAAAACAATGCTTATATATACGCGCAGATTAGCGTGACGGCACTCGTCTCGTTTACACGCGCTTTACGCGCGTTTACTACCGGATACACGGCGGCAGTGGCGCGTTTTTATTATCGTCGAGAAGGAGGAGGCGCGAGTCAAACGAAAATCCGTCGGCGTTAATTAGCGGCCGAAAAGACGAAGAAGCCGAGGAAAGAAAGTAGGAAAGAAATACGCGGAGCGCATCCGACAGGCGTCTTCAATTAAACCTGCGAACAATGCAACGCAACCCTCCTCTCGTTCTCGCGACTGTGCGTGCGCGTTTTCCCTTGATAGCCCCCAAGCAGTGCGAGACAATGCGCGCGCCATGTTTTCGTACAGACTTTTCGCGGATTGCGTTTTGCTATGTATATATATATATTGTCTCGCTGCGGGCCCGCCTTTGAGAAAACATCTTAATAAACCTTTGACTCGTTTGTCGCCAACTTCCCTTCCTTCCTTCCTTCCTTCCTTTCGTTAATTACGTTTTTCATGTGCACACCGAACATCAATGCAAATTAATAGTCGATTTCCGATCGGCTTCCACTTCCGACGGCGATAAAAAATAATTAAAAAAAGAGAGAAGAAGCTTTAACAGGTCTCTCGAATAAAGTATTTCGAAATCCCAAATGATCATAACAAGATAAGTGCTGCACCAGACACGAGCCAAGATGCCGTAAAAAAAGAGAAGAAATTTTTTTTTATTCGTATATAGGCCCTGAAGGCAATTTGGATTGATTCGCCGAAAGCGCCCAGGCGCCAGATGGCCAAGACGCCAGATGTTGGACTCGCGACACAGCAATATCGACTTTTAAAATTTTCTCTCTCTCTATTCGTGCGGGTATCATGAGTCGGAAGAAATCAAGATTCCTCTCATGATTTCCGATCCATCTTTCGTTTTCAAGAGAGTGCAGTGCAATGCGGATCCTCGAGCGTGCGTACGTGTCAATACATATGTAGCGTTATGATATTTCTCGTGAAACATAAAAAGGCGTGGGAGGTCTGTCGGCTGAACTCGCCCTCAGCCCTCCCCGACTACATTTAAGCTATAAATTTTCTTTAATTTCGGCTTCGCAACGTCACCGGCATTCTCGCGCTCTACCAAGATAAATTCTCATTAATTGGAAATTGAACGCGGCAGACGCCTAATTGTCAGACACTCTCTCTCTCTCTCTCTCTCTCTCTCTCTCTCTCTCTCTCTCTCTCTCTCTCTCTCTCTCTCTTCGCGAGCAAAAGTAAGGGGATAGACCGGCAAGTTTCAGAGAGGGGTAAGCGAGTATCTTTCGAGAGAATAAGCCAGCTGCCTGCCTATTGGATTATGTGTCGGCGAAATCATGTCTATTAATCGCTCGTCCTTATCAAAAGACACTTTTACAACTCTCATCTGTACGATTGTTTCGTTTGGCACGAAGAATTCGAGAGAGAGAGAGAGAGAGATAAGCGTAGTTTTTTTTTTCGCCAAGGGAGCGAAGACGCCCACCGCCTCACAATATATCCACGGCGGAACTTTTGTTTTAGGGCGAGCTCGCTAGCTCGAATCGTTAATCACTTTTTGTTTTGCGAGAAACCTTTCTGCCTAATTTCAACCCCTTGTCCTCGCGAATTTCCATTTTTGTCTTCTTTTTTTGTCTCATCCCTCGCCGCGATTAGTTCTCGATTAAAAGTTTGGGGATGCGGATGATGTACGATAATTTTTATTTCCGTTTCCCCTGCGGATGTTAACCTATTTATCTCTGAAAAACGGATGCGAGCAAACGAAGTAGCCGTCGGTTGAAAATCGATGTAAAAGCCCCGCTCGCACTCCTCGGTAATGTCGCTGGATGAGCGGCAAGGTATTAATTAGGGAGGAGACGCAACGGGACGCGCGCAGACGCGATGCGACGGCACGCGTACAGCTTCGAAAGCAGAGCGAAGAGCAGTCGGCTGCGCAGATGGCGGGGGCTCGTAATACCTGTCGCCTAGCCGAGAGAGAAGAGGCGCGCAGCTGTGCCGTCGTCTACTGGAAATTTCGAGGAAGCGCATATTGATTTGGACGAGTGGAGCAATGTAAAGGAGGCTCCGGCGAAAGGCGTTGCGCGATTTACAGGCAGCGGCGAAATCAAGTCGAAAAAAGGGGATCCCGAGACACGCGCCGGAGAATAAGTCGTAAACTCGCAACGGCGCGAGCGAGCGCGCGTGTATATAAAAGTTTCCGCGGACGCAAGTAACAGGTGGTTTCGGTAATTGCTCGCGCGCGCGCGAGCTCGTTGCGGATTAAGTCGTTTTCTCTCGCGCGCGGCATCCCAATCTTTTCCCCGCACGCGCACTCGACGGCCGCCGGTCGGAATCAACTCCGCGCGGCTGCGGAATCAGAACTCCTTCGTGGATTTCGGATAGACCGAGCCACGCGAACGAATCGCAGCAGCACAGACGAGACCGATCCGGCGCTCGAACCTCTTGTCGACCGCCGATGAGTTCGCGTCGCACATCGAATTCCAAGCGAACCGTTCAACTCACCAGCAGCTAAGCAAGTCGTAGCAATTGCTGCAGCAGCCGGTGCATATCCGTCTCGTAACTCTGCTGAACGATTTATAAGGTCGACGCGGGCGGTCGACGTCCCTCTTCTTTCTCCCTCGGTCGATCGGCTGAGCCAAGAGACTCGAGCCTCGAGCAATTAACGACGATCGATCCATCGACGTCTCACGACGAATCCAATTCGCTCTCCTCGAGCCCCGAGCGTCGCGACTGCGCATGCGAAAGCTGGCGCGCGCGAGCGGTGACGATCGGGCTGAGTGGGCAGAACACGACAGAAAGCGTCGAATGCGCGAGTGGCAAGCAACGAGGAATCGCCGGCTATTATCGTCGCGCGGCTTCGGCGCCAAGGGCTCCCGATTATTCGCTCGGGCGTCGCACCATTGTGTCCCTCGATCTCCCCCTCTCTCGACGCGAAATTTTCGGTGCGCTTGCACGAGCGCTCACCCTTCCCCCGGCGCCCGCAGCCGCCGACGCTTCTTCTTCTCCCGGCGGCTCGTTTATGCACGCGATAATGGCGCGAGGCTCCAAGGACAATGGGTTTTTGTGTCGCGCATCGCGTGCGCGACCAATGGCGAGCGCGCGGGCGCTCGTGTCTCCGGCTGACGGCAAGCGACTCGACGTCGCGTGCGCGCCGAGGGAAAGCGCGCGCGAAGGCTGCGAGGGCTGCGAGGGCTGCGAGGGCTGGGCTCGGAGTAAAAGTGCCCTCCCGCGCCTCGCTCCCGCGGCACCCTTTGCCGGGCCGGCGCACCCCGGGGAGGGCTGTGCCTGCGTAGCGCCGCACAAAGGAGGCGCGCGCCCGCGCCAGCTGGAATTTTTAATTATCTCTCGCCGGCTTTTCGTCCGATAGCGCCGCGATCGCCGTCGACGGGACGCTCGGAGTGGCCGTATTTTTGCCGACTAGTTTTGTCACACTTTCCACCTCGGCGCTCGGCTCGCC